ATATATATGTGCGTGTGTGTGTTTGTGTGTGTACAATAATATATTATAAAAATAATTATATCGTTTCCTCAATGCAGGTGGCGTTTCTTCACTACTTCCATCTTTTGCTCTTAACTTCTTTGAGCATATAATATTATTCTTGTTAATTGTAACCTCTTCCTAACGGAACATGTAAATTATATAGATTCTGAGAATATTCGGAGAATATCTCAATATTTTTTGAAAAACTTTTTCGGAATATACATATTACGTTAGAATAATTTTATACAATTCAGGATAATTGTCTTTCTATTTATCGCAAAATTGTAATATATTACTTCTTCTATTAATCCTCTTCTGTTCAATATCGTATGCTTGAAGTTTATTTTCCATTTGTCGCGATAACTAATCAATGTTCTGCTTTTTGGTAAGAACTACAATTTTATTATGAAATGAAGAAAACGATGACTTAAAATCATAGGATAAGAACCGAAATAATGAATTGAAATAACCGCAAACCAAAAACAATGTAACGGTTCCGATTTCGGTTCTGTAAGCTTTATAAAATTTCGGTACGGTTTACGGTTCTGGTTCGACAAAAATACCAGTTTCCATACGGTTTTTGGTTTCGGTTTCGATTCGATCCGGGTCCCTGATATACGCAAACGGACACTAACACACATTCAGGGACGCTTTATTGGAGTAGGACGGTTTGTTTTATTAGAGCAGTAGGTGTGCCAAGTTGGCGACTGAAGTATAAATCCTTCGAGGTGCAACAATCGCGGTAGTCGGGTGCGGCGGACCATTTTCCGATCTCGCTCCTGCCTTTCCCCTTTCATACACGCCACCATGTCAACCATTGACCCGTAAAAGACAAATCTCGCGAAGTGAAAAAAAAGAAAGTAAAGGCCACCGGTAACGTCCGTCAGCCGCGGACGTGTGATACTTGATGAACGGAATATCGGCCGACATCGGAGAGCTGCGTTGAAATTACGCTATGAAAAATATAAACGGCATATATCGTCAATTTTATGAAGGAAACTTGCCGTTCGTTAGTTACGTTCGCCGGATATACCCTATAAATGCGTAATATTATTTAATATTAAGTAATATTGCGGGCATATTCTTAGAATATCAGACGTAATATTCTAGTAATATTATTTAATATTAAGTGATATTTTTGGAATATTAATAGATAGTTATATATGTCCGCTCCTAATAATATATAAAAAATAATATTATTTAATGTTATTGCAATATTGTATATTTTTTTTAATATTCAATTCTATGTATATATATAATATATATAAGTGTAATATTTCGTTTCATATGTATCGCAATACCAATTGTTTTTTTTATATAAATAAAGTCGAAATAATTTTGTAAAAATATGTTTCATACTAAAAAAATTATATATATATATAATTTTATCTATATATTTTTTTAATATTATTATTCTTTTTTTAATATTCTAAGAACATTTTTATAATATTATGTGAAGTGGACATATAACATTAATAGAATATTCCTATAAAATTAAAAAATATTACATAACATCCTTAGAATATTATAGGACTATTATTTTAATACTGAATAATATTCATATAATATTCTAAGAATATTACGCCCTGATAGGGATAACATAATGCGAAGAGGAGAAATAAAAGAAAAAAAGAGAAATTTATCGTAGCATCTAATATAATTCGCGCGTTCGTAAATTGTGCAAGGAGCTCACGAACGAGAGAGAAAGAGAGAAAGAGAGAGAGAGAGAGAGAGACAAATTATTTTGATAATCATGAAATATCCCAAGTCGAATTTTGGCCCTATGTTAAATCTTTAATTCTACAACATAGTAGGAACTAAGATAGTAAAATAGGTTCAATTTCAATTCTAATAATACAATATAACCCCTACTTTGACCCTGATGATGTTTTAAATTTCTGTTTTCACTGTTTTAACGTTAAAATAGAACGATGAAGGTAGCGTTAAAATTCAATCTGTAGAATTAAAGGTTCAAAAGAGAAGTTAACAAGTATCAGTATCGCTAAAGTAGATTTTTATTAATCTTTAGGTCGTTTAAATAGGCGCAAACTATCTTTAAGAACGTCAAAATTTCAATTCGGGATTACTTAATATTATTATCCCGTTATAATGTTGTTTTAATTATTCCAATTATCCGACATTGTACTCGCAAAGACGAACTTATTCCTCACGTCTTCGCGGTAGAAAAAGCAGCTCAAGGATCTCCATCAGTGCGTTGCGCGTTTGTGTTTGGCTTCTTCATCTTCTCAATGAATTAACTCTCGACGAGAAGGTCGGCATCCTCTGTTTAGTATTTCACGCCGCTCACACGTGCGTTATTTTTGTTTCAAGCCGGACCCGCGAAATTGAAACGATAGCCGCGATGATGAAACGGAGTTTTCACTTCGCGCAACACGCGTCGAAAAATTCTCACTTTCCGTTCGCTCTCTAACTTGCAGGCGGCGGTCGTTTCTTTCTGGGCCGATTCTGTTGTGGCAACGTCGTGACAAACGATGTTTTGCGAAGGACGATCAGTGCCAGTATGTCACTCGTGCGAAGTGTGTTACGTGTTTACTGTTATCGTTTGTCTCGTAAAATACTTGGGGGTATTTAGGACAATGTGCATATTGCGTCAAAACTTCTTCTAGTCGTCTAGTACGCTGAAAAAAAGACTGCTAATCCTTACTAAATGCATTTAGTTAGAGAGTTTTAAACATTTTAATTTTTTATAACCATTTGAATTTGTTAATAATTTTTTTTCAAGTACTTTTTTATTCAAGCTCGTTCTTTTACCTTCAAAATAAAAAAAAATGAAATCTGTAGCTCAAATAGAACCAGAGTTATGAATTTTTAAAAAATATACTTCAAGCCAAACATCACCAAATTCTCAAATTTTACATCCTTTCTATTTTCCAAAAAAATGAAACAAAAAAAAAATCCTCGAATAGATATATCTTTTATTGTCATATAGAACACGTAAAAAAAGTTTTAGCTAAATCAAAAATGTGTCGGTCAATTTTCGACCAAATCTGTACGGTTTGTAAAAGAATGTCCCATATATATATATATA